TCCAATTCACCTTTTCTAGAGATGGATGAGTCATATGGTACCATCAGCCAATACACTTCCTCTCCATCCAAAGCATATATAATTCATAGGAGGAATAAGTTCAGGGCTTCGAATATAATGCAAAGTACTTTGGAACTGTATGACAGAGGAGGCCTGTAGGAAAAACATGCTTTTGGTAGGACATAAAGTGAAAATTATGATTACTGTAAAGGTTTCAAATTTGGAGATCTCGGGTTGTTTCTTGCAATTGGATTTTGACGGGTATGTTATAGCCAAGCCAGGAATAATAGTGACTAACGCATGGACGTTTGTGCTGCTAGGTATATTTTAGACAAGAAGTACAAGCCAGCCACTACAGCTGCTAGCTCAGGTTAGTGATCTTAATTTTACTTTAATTTTTACTTTTTGTTGGTTTTCTTGGTTGGCCATGGCTATTGCTATCTTTACTAAAACCATTAATAAAGTTTCACATATTTCTTTATTAAGAATTAGAATCGTATATCATATGCTGGTCTCAAGCATGATTCTATTAGAAGATTTGCTTCATATCAGAAAAAATTATGCTTCAATTCTTATTCCTTTTGCAGGCATCTCTTTGATTGGTTATCCACATTCTACTAAAAGCAAGCTCCTCTGTTTCTTCTTTCATCACAATAGATGTGTGTTGGTTAATGTTGCATGAGAGGAAGTTCCTCTGTGTTGTCTAATGGCATCATGTGACTCGTCTTGTCCATTTTAAAAAAATTGTAAATTGGATGTCACTTCTTACGCATGTTTGATTCAACTTGCTACCTGAATTAAATTTTTTGGTAGAGAGAATTCGAGAGCAAAGGTACCTCATGATACGTGTAGAAGAAATAACATCCAATTTACTTTTTCTAGAGATGGATGCGTCATATGGTACCATCAGCCAATACACTTCCTCTCCGTCCAAAGCATATATAATTCATTGGAGGAATGAGTTTAGGGCTTCGAAAATAATGCAAAGTACTTTGGAACTGTATGACAGAGGAGGCCTGTCGGAAGAATAGGCTTTTGGTAGGACTTAAAGTGAAAATTATGACTACTGGAGAGGTTTCAGATTTGGAGATCTCAGGTTTTTTCTTGCAATTGGATTTTGACGGGTATGTTATAGCCTAGCCAGGAACAATAGAGACTAGCTCATGGACGTTTGTGCTGCTAGGTATATTCAAGACAAGAAGTACAAGCAAGCCACTACAGCTGCTGGCTCAGGTTAGTGATATGAATTTTACTTTAATTTTTGCTTTTTGTTGGTTTGCTTGGTTGGCCATGCCTATTGCTATCTTTACTAAAACCATTAAGAAAGTATCACATATTGCTTTATTAAGAATTAGAATCGTATATCTTATGCTGGTCTCAAGCATGATATTCGATCAGATGATTTGCTTCATATCAGAAAAAATTATGCTACAGTTCTTATTCCTTTTGCAGGCATCTCTTTGATTGGTTATCCACATTCTACTAAAAGCAAGCTCCCCTGTTTCTTCTTTCATCACATCAGAAGTGTGTTGGTTGGTGTTGCATGAGAGGAAGTTCCTCTGTGTTGTCTAGTGGCGTCATGTGACTCGTCTTGTCCATTTTAAGAAAATTGTTAATTGGATGTTACTTCTTACGCAGGTGTGATGAGGTTGCCTTGCTCTTGCATTCTCTTAGATAATTTGATTCAACTTGCTATCTGAATTAAATTTTTTGGTAGAGAGAATTCGAGAGCAAGGCTACCTCATGATACGTGCAGAAGAAGTAACATCCAATTCACTTTTTCTAGAGATGGGTGAGTCATANTGGTACCCTCAGCCAATACTCTTCCTCTCCGTCCAAAGCGTATATAATTCATAGGAGGAATAGGTTTAGGGCTTCGAAAATAATGCAAATTATTTTGGAACTGCATGACAGACGAGGCCTGTCGGAAGAACATGCTTTTTGTAAGACATAAAGCGAAAATTATGATTACTGGAGAGGTTTTAGATTTGGAGATCTCGGGTTTTTCTTGCAATTGGATTTTGACGGGTATGTTGTAGCCGAGCTAGGAACAATAGAGACTAGCTCATGGACGTTTGTGCTGCTAGGTATATTCAAGACAGGAAGTACAGGCAAGCCACAACAGCTGATGGCTCAGGTTAGTGATCTGAATTTTACTTTAATTTTTGCTTTTTGTTGGTTTGCTTGGTTGGCCATGGCTATTGCTTCTCTATTAGTTGTATAATACCAAATTGGTTTATACATTACCAAATTGGGGATTTCCACCATGCTGGAGATTACTAATCATTCCCCCACTGAGCAATTCATTTCTGAAGCTAAGATTTGTTGTACTTGGAACTGATGTAAATCTTGCACTTTCTTCTGCTAACGCATCACAGAAGGCTCTGTGTGTTATATAGCTGTCCTTTCTGTTCAATTTTCAAGAAACAAGAAGGAAAAAAAAAACTCAAACTTGGTTTATTAGTTGCATTAAAAATCAGGACATAGATTTACTGCATGTATTTCCACAAACTTGGTTTATTATCGCTTCATTTTTGTTTCTGGACAAATATACACTATCAGTAGTACTCATTCATGTTTTGGTGGTTGTTATTGCAGTATGTCAGTGCTGGTGTGCGTATCTCGGAACGTGCAGCTCGAGAGGCTACTGCCGGTTTTGTTCACAAACGTCTAAAGCATGATGTTCTTGGTCAAAGTTCCGCTTTCTGCCACAAGTTGCATCGGCTACCACAACATTTTTATTGTCTTTCAAATGACTGTTGTCAACTGGATACGCTATTACAATGTCCTAAGGGTCTACTTTTGTGCATTTTGCTTTGTAATCACTATAAGTATTTTGCTAGTAGTTAAAATATATTCTGCTAGTACATTTTGACGTATTTTGCTGGTGTATTTCAATGTATGTGCTCATTTGCTGCTACAATTAGTGTCAAAAGAAGTTATTATATATGTTCTGCTGTAGTGCTTTTACTTCATTTGTCAGTCCTGAGCTGGAGAATTCCTCTGTAAATGCGGGGGTTCAACAGTAGAGTGGTATAGGAATGAATTTTGTACATGTAGTTGATGGCTGTCAATTGTATGTGAAGCCATGAACGGATAATACGGTTAACCGTTTTATCCGCCGGTTAACCCGTTTTTTATCCGTATTAAATATGGTTCGGGTCGGATATTTTACCCGTTTTTGACCCGAATCGTATCCGACACGACCCGCCCGTTTGCCACCCTTAGTTGTATTTCACAAGCTTCTATTCTGACAATTCCTGTGCTGGGGAGATCAGAACATGGTCTGTAACGATGGTTTCTGCACTTCTAATATAACTTATATATCTAGTCTAGATATATGTATGTGTAGGAATGGCAATCGGGCGGGCCAGGTCGGATATGGTTCGGGTCGAAAACGGGTAATGAAATAACGGATAAATTATCTGACCTGACCCATATTTAATACGGATAAGAAACAGGTTAACCGGCAAATAATATGGATAACCATATTATCCATGACTTCTTGCATATGATCACTTTTGGGAGAATTCCTAATTTCCCTAACTTGAGGAACCCCCAATTTGAGGCTTTACAAATGTAAAAGTTAGACCCATTGGTTATCCATTATCCAACCCATTTTTTAGTGGATAATATGGGTGGTTAACTGTTTTCTTTTAATCATTTTTCCACCCCTATGTATGTGCATATGCATATGGACCATACTTTATAGAATTATCTGGTGATTTTCTGACTGGTGTTGTAATATAATTTTCCTCTTAATGATGATCTTGGTGCA